TTTGCGTATTATTGAATTTTTCGATAATTGTTAATAAGGTTTGCAGTTTGTCTTGTTTGCATGTATACTTCTCATTGTATGTGAAAGATGATAGCATCCCAGGAGGTAACAAAATATTATTTGAACATATTATGTATATAGCTTTATTAGAGAATGCGGATAATTTATGAAAAGATTTATTGTAATTTTGGATAGAAATGTTGATTTTATTGTTTGATATCAACGCGATATATTTTCTCGATTCAAAACAACGGATTATTTATTTAATCACAAATATTAAAGAGAAGATTGATCTTAAAGGAAAAGTTATATATAGTTATAGCTTGTTGTGAGTTATTATTTTACATGAATAGAATGTTTTTTTTAGTTATTCTTGAGATTTAGACAGGTTTTATGCGCTCTAAAAATAACCGGGACCAATAGATAGAGAAATGTCAGACTGATTAGGGTGCACGTCGATCTCTTGTGATCTTTTTACATGCGTCGTACATCCAAAACGGCAAATCGGCGACGCCGGAATTGAGTCCGCGAGAAATCAATAAAACGCCGGAACGTTATATGTCGACCTACATTCAAGTACTAGCGTGCCACCTTCGTTTTTCTAAAAATATCTCGGGTAATTTCTCCTTTCCGCCTGATGGAGTAGTCGCGTGCGCCGATCCTGATCATTTCGACATGTTGCTCCGCATTGAAGCGAAATTTTCAGTTTCGTGATTATGATCACAGCGATGACGAGTCGCGATTTCCAATCGAAACGATTCGGATCGTACTCATGACGATTAAAGATGTATTACACATAAATTTTCAAAATAATAAAAAAATTACAGATTATTCTAATTGCATTTAATAATAAAAAATTTAGTGATGGCTTAGAATCTAGATCAAAAATTATTTCAATAAAAAGTACTATTTTTTTAATCTGTGTTATAATGGAAATATATGGAAAAATTTTATTATAAAATAACAACAAAAATCTCAATTTTTTTAAATGAGTGTTTTAAGTACTGTTCAAGATGATTTATGCAAAGTTTCATTACAACACACAGAGATTAATTCCATAAATGAAAATTTATTTTTTTGTTTATTTACAGAACAACTAATCTCTATATTGCAATAAATTTTGCATAAATCATCTTGAATATTTAAAACATTTATTTAAAATTTTTTAAAAATTGAGATTTTTGTTATTATTTTATAATACATTTCTTCATATATTTCTTTTAGAGCACAGATAAAAAAATATTACTTTTTTTAAAAGTATTTTTGATGCAGATTCTAAGCCGT